CTGCGAGAGCTGTGGGAGTGGTCCGACCAATTTTTTCTCTAATAGTTGTGATTTTATTTGTAAAACTCATGAAGTCATTGCTGCTGAGATCTAAGGGAATGTTAAGCTCAACAGCACTGTGGCTCTTTGTCAGCCTGGCTACATAACATAACATAACATAACAACATAACATAATGCTCAATCTTGTTCATCCTATGATCTCATTGTTTAAACTCTCCCTTTCAGGTTTTCAACAAGTCATACGTGGTTCACTCAGACTAGAATTAGGTAAGTCTCTTTTCAAACCCAATCATCCGGTTTGTAGTGGTCTTCTTCTCTTTTTTCCTTGTCTCGGATCTGTTGATACATAGTCTTAGTTAAAGCAGTGTCTATCAGTCCTGCCATCAGTCCTCGCAGGCAGGGAATGCAACAGCAGCCACACATGACCAGCAGGGCTGCAGCTACAGACAGAGAGATCAACCCAGAAGCGATCAGACCACTCCACTTTCTGAACAAGGATTCCAGGAGATTGGCAAAGGGGTTGTTGATGCCAGAGTTCACAGCCAGCTCCTCGAATAGGGCTGTCAGTCCTTCAAGGGCCTTGGTGATGCTGCCATCTGCGGAAATGTTGTTGGGTATAAAAGTACAACAAAACATGCCAAACATTTTGCATACTCCTCCTTTCTCAGCTAACATATCTAGAGCCATCCTATTTTGCCATGACATGAGAGAAGTTGGGCCCAGTTGTTCTGCTATGCCTCTAATTGCATCTCTGGTATGATTCACAAAACGTTGTTGATTATAATATAAGTAGTTAATCCGATCCACATTCTTATTTACTGTGACCCACCAGGAAAGAAAAGATTCAAACCCTGCAGCTATTTGATTTCTAGCTAAATTCATCAGGTACTCCTCAGGGTACACCAATTGCATCTAAGCACACTCTGTTGTCGAACGAACCTCTGGGCTTACCTGTAGATCTGGTTTCACGATGTAGGTGGGATGCAGATAACAGCTTCTCCCCCAGCTCCCTGTATTCTCTCAAGGAGAGTATGTGAAAAGGCATCAGCAGCTGGACCAGGGCACAGCTGCCACGCCACAGTAAGGGGAGTCTGGATCTCAACTTGCCATCTCCACAGAGCCACCATATGTCTGCCCTCGAAACAGTTTGGTTCACAAACCAGGTGGCAGAATAGTCACCATTGTCAGCGGTGATGTCAAAGGTCTCCATACACCAGGCAGGCGGCAGGCAGTGGACATTCTTGCCGGTACCAGAGCATACAAAACATGTGTAATTAGTCTCAACGCTGTCCACAATGTGTTGCGATGCCAGTTAAAAATGTCACCATCATGGGCTTATGTTCCTGCAAACTCCTCCAATTGAGCTGCTCTCAGGGCCTCCTCCATTTCCTGTTTGCCCAGGATTTTTCCCAATAGAGCCTTAATGTCTCCCATTGCCAAAATTGTGGCAATAGTTTCTTCCTCAAATGCTGCTATCCACTTTCCAGCCCCATCTTGGAGACAAGGGAGGCGTTGCACCAATCCATGGTAAGCCAGGGCACATATTGTAGCTGTGCCTCTTTTGCTAAAAGTTGGTATGATGATGCATCCGCAGCTCCGTTTGGATGTCTTGATTCTCCACTGGTGTT